TATATATATATATATATATATATATATATATATATATATATATATATATATATATATATATATATATATATATATATATATATATATATATATATATATATATATATATATATATATATATATATATATATATATATATATATATATATATATATATATATATATATATATATATATATATATATATATATATATATATATATATATATATATATATATATATATATATATATATATATATATATATATATATATATATATATATATATATATATATATATATATATATATATATATATATATATATATATATATATATATAAATAAAAAACAAAAGCAATCATTTCAGGTCTACCATCAGTCCATAGTTGTACATGTGTCAGAACAGGCTTTGAACTTGTCACCAGATAAGATGATAAAACAACAAACTAGGTCATGTGAGCTCTAACCTTATGTACTGAGGCGGCGCTTTTCCTTGCACAACGTCCTTGCTAACGTCCACAGACACAATGTCTGAATGTGGCACCTCGAACATGGGGTCTAGCAGCAGTTTTTCCTATTGGGAAAAGGGGGCAGTTTATGAAATCACAAGAGCATGTGTCATATATACACCAGCCTGCCAAATCTGAGGAAATGAAAACTTCTGACAATACAAAAAAAAAAAAAAAATAGAGTTTTCTTACCATTATGGATCTGAGTCCACGTGCTCCAGTTTTACGCTCCAAAGCCAATCTGGCAATCGCTCTCAGAGCATCAGGTGTCATGTTGAGCTCACACTAATACACATTAAAGACAAATATATTATTAGAAATATCATATTAATAATAGCACTTGTAATAATAATAATAAAAATATTACTATTAATATAAAAAAACAGATGTAATAAAAAAATATATTAAAAATGAGAGAAAAATGGCAAAAAATATTTAATTAATTTTATTATATTATAATTTTATTTATTCAATTCAACTCAAGTTTACTTGTGTGGCACTTTACAATAAATATTTGCCAAAGGCCCTTCATAAAAAACCCACATTATTAAATTACAGTAATTTTTTTTATTTGTATATTATGTTAGTATTATTATATTATCTTTTAATTAAGACAATGCAGGTGAATTGGGTAAAAAAAACTAATATTTAATCACCATACACCCCCAGATGACTTAGTACATTAACAATTGCAAACACTTTTGTATAACAAGTTTTCTAACATTTGCAATATATACAAAAAAAAGCATTATTAATGAAATATGTTAAAATGTGCATACATTTCTAGCACAAAAATCTAAACAAAGACTTTTACTGGCTTTTACTGTAAAAATAGGTCAACAATTAGGGGAAAAACAAAAACAAATGATACACTTTTTTATAATGAAGCAAACAATATCCATTCATCATATAATCAGGATATAATTAGGCATATGTCAGAATTTTTAGCCCCCTTATATATTTAGTTTTCTTTTTTAAATATTTCTCAAATTATCTTTAACAGTGGAAAGAAATTTTCACAGTATGTCTGATAATATTTTTTCCTCTGGAGAAAGTCTTATTTGTTTTATTTCGGCTAGAATAAAATCAGTTTTTAATTAAAAAAAAAACATTTTTGGGACAAAATTATTAGCCCCTTTAAGCTATTTTTTTCAGATAGTCTACAAAACAAACCATTGTTATACAATAACTTGCCTAATGACCCTAACCTGCCTAGTTAATGTAATTAACCTACTTAGGCCTTTATATGTCACTTTAAGCTGTAGAGAAGTGTATTAAAAATATCTTCTAAAATATTATTTACTGTCATCATGACAAAGATAAAATAAATCAGTTATTAGAGATGAGTTATTAAAACTATTATGTTTAGAAAAGTGTTGAAAATGTTTCATTCCGTTAAACAGAAATTGTGGGGGGAAAAAATAAACAAGGGGGGCGCTAATAATTCAGATGGCTAATTATTCTGACTTCCACTGTATGCATGTATGAACAAATCCCTATTTATAAACCTTCAGAATAGGAATAAAACTATAAAGTTAAAATCATGTACTGTAATTGAAATCTACAGGCACAAATTAATAAACTAAAATTTTTTATTTAACTAGACTGAAATTCTTTTCATTAGACTAAACTTTAAAATGACAGGTGCAAAGATAACAGTGTTTTAGCCAGCAGTTTAATTTTTGTGTGGTTTAAATGGTTGTTTCTATTTATAAGACCATTTTTCACAACATAAATGATACCTTTAAAGTTAACTTGTCTTTAAACCCTAGATTAAGTGAAGTTTATTCATAAACTAATTTCGAGAGGATCACGTGCTTATGATTTATCACGTCCAGTCTCGCATTTGCTAATCACTAATCTTCCAATCATATGAGCCCTAAGGCACCATAAATAGCCTAAGTTTTCAGTTCACTTTATCTTCGTTTGGAAGACCGCTCAGCCTCAGACTGTGCTCCAGCTATCCAATTATAGCCGCTCATCTCCAAAACAGCAACTTCTACAAACAGATCCAGCATTTATTCATCATCATCAACATCATTATCATCCGCAACTGCTACCGCTATCTTCTATTCCCTCCAACAATCAATATCTCCAACAAAACAAGCCATCATGAACAACGAGAACATCAACGAGCAAGCTAACAACCAGCCAGACCTTCTCAACTCTCCCTCCGAAAACCAACCTCTCCCCGCTCCGCCTGGCTCTCAACCCGAACCCGAGGCCGTCACAAGAGGCCGACGCATGACACGCTCCACCGCTACTAGGTCCCGTCAAAACTTATCACCAACGCAATCCACTCCAAGGCAACAAATCTCTTCACCTACCTCATCTTATATCTCCGCAACCTCCTCAGTCATCCATCCAAGTAGAATCACCGTATCAGAAATCAGGAACAAGCTCGCCATCCTCGGAATCAACGCTCCCAAAAATCTCAAAAAACCGGAACTCCTTAAACTTTACAAAAACGCAACATCGGACTCCCTTCCCTCTGCAAGTCCTCCTCCA